GTCCTCTCTTATTTCCTTGAGCAGTGGTTTGTAGTTTTCCTTGAAAAGGTCCTTCGCTTCCCTTGTTAGTTGTATTCCTAAATATTTTATTGTCTTTGTAGCTGTTGTGAATGTGAGTTCACTCATGATTTGGCTCTCTGTTTGCCTGTTATTGGTGTATAGGAATGCTTGTAATTTTTGCACATTGATTTTGTCTCCTGAGATTTTGCTGAAGTTCCTTATCATCTTAAGGAGATTTTGGGCTGAGATGATGGGGTCTTCTAAATCATGTCATCCGCAAATAGAGACAATTTAACTTTTTCTTTTCCTAACTGAATACCCTTTATTTCTTTTTCTTGCCTGATTGCTCTGGCTAAAACTTCTAATACTATGTTTAACAGGAATGGTGAGAGAGGGCACCCTTGTCTAGTGCCAGTTTTCAAAGGGAGTGCTTCCAGTTTTTGCCCATTCACTATATCGACAGTGGGTTTGTCATAAATAGCTTGTATTATTTTGAGATACATACCATTGATACCTAGTTTATTGAGAGTTTTTAGCATAAAGCACTGTTGAATTTTGTCAAAGGCCTTCTCTGCATCTATTGAAATAATCGTGGTTTTTGTCTTTGGTTCTGTTTATGTGGTGGATTACATTTATAGATTTTCATATGTTGAACCAGACTTGCAACTCCAGGATGAAGCCTACTTGATTGTGAGGGATAAGCTTTTTTATGTGCTGTTGCATTCAGTTTGCCAGTATTTTATTGAAAATTTTTGCATCAATGTTCATCATGGATATTGGCCTGAAATTTTCTTTCTTACTTAGTTGTGTCTTTGCCAGGTTTTGTTATCAGGATGATGTTCATCTCATAAAATAAGTTAGGGAGAATTTCCTCTTTTTGTGTTGTTTGGAAAAGTTTCAGAAGGAATGATACTAGCTCCTCTTTGTACATCTGGTAGAGTTCAGCTATGAAGCTGTCTGTACCTGGACTTTTTTGGTTGGTAGGCTATTGATTGCTGCCTCAACTTCAGACCTTGTTATTGGTGTATTCAGGGATTCAGCTTCTTCCTATACTTTTATCACATAAAATAGACTTAACCTCAAAAATTCAACAAGAGAAAAAAATATAATTATGTTACAATAAAGGGATCATATAACAACTGTAAATATATATGTATCCAGAATTAGAGCATCTAAGTATATTTAGCAAGTATTAACCCAACTAAAAGAAGAAATAAACAGCAATGCTACAACAGTAAGGAATTTTAACACCCTACTTTCAGCACCAGATAGATAGTTCAGACAGAAAATCAATAGCAAAACACTGGAATTGACATATTAGCCAAATGGATTTAATAGAGATGTTACAGAACACCCATCTGACAATATTAGAATACAAATTCTTCTTAAGTGCACATAGAATATTCTCCAGGATGGATTATATATTAGGTCACAAAACATGTTTTTATAAGTTTAAGAAGACTGAAATCATACCAGCTAGCTTTTCCAACTGCAATAGTATAAAATTGGAAATGAATAACAGGAGAAATCTTGAAAACATCACAATATGTGGAAACTAACACTTTTGAACAAGTAATGGGTCGAAGAAGAATCAAAAGAGAAAATTTTTTTAAAATCTTGAGACAAGTGAAAATGAAAACACAACATCCCAAAACTTATGAGATGCAACAGAAGCAGTACAGGGGGAATTCGCTAATGATAAATACCTACATTAGAAAAATGAAAGATCTCAAATAAAAAAACCCTAATGTTACACCTCAAGGAACTAGAAAAAGAACAAGCTAAGCTCACAATTAGCAGAAGAGAGAAAATAACAATGCTGAGAGAAGAAATATATAAAATAGAGACAAGAAAAACAAAAGACCAACAAAATGAAGATCTGATTTTTTGAAAAGATAAACAAAAATTTAAAATCCTTAGCTATACTAAGAAAAAAAGAGAAAAGACTCAAAAATGAAAGAGAATACATTATAACTGATACGACAGAAATACAAAGGATTGTAACAGATTACTATGAAAAATTATATGCCAATAAATTGGATAACCTAAAAAAGAAGGATAAATTCCTAGAAACACAAAACCTACCAAAACTGAATCATGAAGAAATGGAAAATCTTAGTAGGCCTAAAACTAGTAAGGAGATTGAATCAGTAATCAAAAATCTCCCAGCAATGAAAAGTCAGTACCAGATGGCTTCACAAGGGAATTCTGCCAAATATTTAAAGAAAAATTAATACTAATTATTCACAAGTGCTTCCAAAAAAATTGAAGAGAATGGAACACTTCCAAACTCATTTTATGAGGCCAGAATTTCTGTGATACCAAAGCCAGACAAGAAAACTACAAGAAAAGAAAATACCAGCCAATATTCCTGCTGAACATAGATATAAAATTATCAACACAATACTAGCAAACCAAATCCAACAGCACATTAAAAGAATCATACACCATGATCAAGAGTGATTTATCCCAGGGATGATTTTACATATGCAAATCAATAAATGGGAAAAGCCATATTAATAGAATGAAAGGTGAAAATCATATGATCATTTTAATAGACACAAAACAAATTTGGAAAATATTCAACATCTTTCGTAATAAAAATCTGATATTTAGAAGGAATATACCTCAACATAATAAAGGTCATATATGGCCAGCCCGTGGCTCACATCATATTCATCATGAAAAGCTGGAAAACACTTCCTTTAAGTTCAGGAAGAAGACAAGAGTGGCCAATATCATCTCTCTATTCAACATACTACTGAAAGTTGTAGCCAGAATAATTAGGCAAGAAAAGGAAATTTAAAAAAATCCAAATTGGAAATGACGCAGTATAATTTATAGATGACCTAAACTTATATGCAGAAAACTCTAAAAGTTGCACCAAAAAAAACCTGCTAAAACAAATGAGTAAGTTCATAAAGTTGCAGGATATAAAATCAACATATAAAAATCAGTTGTGGTCAATGCCCTAAAAACAATCTAAAAGAGAAATAATTAAAGCAACTTAATTTCAGTAATATAAAAAAAAAACAATAACATACTCAGGAGTAAATTTAACTAAGAACCAAAAGATTTGTACACTGAAAACTATAAGACACTGATGAAAGAAATTGAAAACATACATTTGCAGCATACATAGATGGAACTGGAGATGAATATGTTAGCTAAAATAAGCCAGGCACAGAAAGAGAAATATAGTATGTTCTCATTCATATGTGGAAACTAAAACAGTTGATCTCATGTAGAGAGAGAATAGAATAATGGTAGCCAGAGGCTGGGAAGCAGGTGGGAGTTGCAAGGGGAGAATTAAGAGAAGTTGGTTAATGACTACAAAAATACAGTTAGATGGAATGAGTTCTAGTGTTCAATAGCACAGTAGAGTGACTATAGTTAACTATAATTTATTGTGTATTTCAAAATAATTAAAAGATAATATTTTAAATATTCCCAACATGGAGAAATGGCAAATGTTTGAGATGATAGATTATCCTAATCACATTTGAATATTACACATTGTATACATGTATAAAAATGTCACATGTACCCCATAAATATGATAATTATTACGTATCAATTTTTAAAAGCAGAAAAAATTGAAGATATAAATAAAGAGTTATCCTGTGTTCATGGATTGGAGGAATAAATACTGTTAAAACATACATACTACCCAAAGCAAACTACAAATTCAATGTAATCCTGATTAAAATCCCAGTGGCATTTGTTACAGAAACAGAAAAAAAAATCCTAATATTTATAGGGAACCACAATAAGATCCCAAATAGCCAATGCAATCTTGAGAAAGAAGAACAAAGCTGGAGGCATCACACATCTTGATTTCAAAATATATTAGAAAGCTACAGTAATCAAAACAGTATGGCACTGGCATAAAGACAGACACAAAGACCAATGAACCAGAAGAGAGAATCCAGAAATAAACCCATACATATATAGCCAACTGATCTTCAACAAGGGTGTCAGTATCACACAGTGAGGAAAGAATAGTCTTTTCAACAAATGGTGTTGGAAAAACTGGATATTCACAAATAAAAAGGATGACATTGGACCCCTACATCATATACAAAAATAAACTCAAATTTATTAAAAACTAAATGTCAGATCTTCAAATAAATGATAGGAGAAAATCTTCTTGACATTGATCTCGGCAAATGATTCCTTAGATTTAACACCAAAAGCATAGGCAACTAAACTAAAAATAAACAAATGGGACCGCATGAAACTAAAAAGCTTCTGCACAAAAAAAGGAAACAACAAAATGAAAAGGTAACCCACAGAATGGGAGAAAATATTTGCAAACCATTTATATGATAAGGGGTTAACATCTAAAATATATAAGGGACTCATAAACCTCAATATCATTTTTAAAAACACACACACAAATAATCCAAGAACTTGAATAGACATTTTGCCAAAAAAGACAGACACGTGGCCAATAGGTACATGAAAATGTGGTAAACATCACTAATCATCAGGAAATGCAAATTAAAACTACCATGAGATATCACTTCACATCTGTTAGGGTGGCTATTATCAAAATGGTAAGATCAACATTGACGAGGATGTAAGGAAAAGGAAACCCTTGAGCACTGTTAGTGGAAATGTAAATTGATACAGCCATTACAGAAAATGGTGTGAAGGTTCCTCAAAAAATTAAAAGCAGAGCTACCACACCATCCAGCAATACCACTTCTGAGTATATATCCGAAGGAAACAAAGATCAGTTCTCAAGGAGAACATATCTGAACTCCCATGTTTTTTACAACATTATTCACAGTGATCAAGCTATGGAAACAACCTGTCTATTGATGAATAAATGGATAAATAAAACATATACCTATTTTATATACATTATATATGTATGTATATACATTTCATATGCACATATAATGAAATATTATTCAGACATAAGAAAGAAGGAAATCTTACCATTCGTGACAACAACATGGATAACCTGGATGACATGATGCTAAGCAGAATAATCCAGCCAGAGAAAGACAAATACTTGTGTGTGGAATCTAAAAAGAACAAAAAAGGTCAAACCTATAGAAAGTGGAAGTAGAATGGTGGTTGCCAAGGGCTAGGGAGAGGGGAAAGCGGGGAGAAGTTGGCCACATGGTACAAACCTGCAATTATAAGTATGTTCTGAGTATCTAACGTACCATATAACTATAGCTAATAATACTGCATTGTATACTTGAAATTTGCTGAAAGTGTGGACCTTGTGTGTTCTCACATTTTTAAAAAAGCAGTTATGTGAGGTGATATATTAATTGTGATCATCATTTTGCAATGTATACCAAATCATTATGTTGTACAGTTTAAATATATAAAATTTTATTTGTCAGTTATACTTCAATAAAGGGAAAAAAAGAAAAAATAGGCAGATTTTCCAGGCCTAGTTTAATCACATAAATCTTTTTTTTTTTTTTTTTTGAGACACAGTCTCTCACTGTCGCCTGGGCTGGAGTGCAGTGGCACGATCTCAGCTCACTGCAACCTCTGCCTCCCAGGTTCAAGCGATTCTCCTGCCTCAGCCTCCTGAGTAGCTGAGATTACAAGTGCCAAGCACTGCACCTGGCTAATTTTTGTACTTTTTTAGAGATGGTTTTTTTTGTATTTTTAGTAGAGACGGTGTTTAGTAGAGACCAGATGTTGGCCAGGCTGGTCTCGAACTCCTGACCTCAGGTGGTCCACCCACCTCAGCCTCCCAAAGTGCTGGTATTACAGGTGTGAGCCATGGTGCCCAGCCCAATAAACCCTTTTGAAATCAACGTTTTCTCAGGCTGGTAGTAGAAAAAGAAATTCGGATAGAGCTAAAGAATGAGAAATATTTGATGTGAGGGAGGTTCTCTGTTCCTTAGATGAAGAGGGCCATGGGTCAAGGGTCTATGAGTGGCCTCAAGACCTGCACATAGTCCCCAGCCAACAAGCAGCAAGAAAATGAGGACTTCATTCTTTGCAGCCATGAGGAGTAAAATTCTTCCAAAAACCTCAATGAACCTAAAAGTGAATTCTCCAAATAAAAGTTGGATCCTCCTAATAAGAGCCCAGCCTGGTCAACATCTTGATTTTTGCTTGAAAGATGCTAAGCAAAAAACCCCATCAGGCCCACTTGGACCAACAGAACTGTGAGATAATAAATGGGTATTGTTAGAAGTCACGTAAGTTTGTGGCAGTATGTTACACCACAGTGGAAAATGAATGCACCTCTTTTGTAAAGCAGCTGTTTACACTTTTGCCTATCTTGTTTTAACTGGGTTATCTTTTAATTACTGAATTGTAACTTTTAAAATATATCTACATATTTAATTTTAATTTTTAATTTTGTGAGTACATAGTAGGTGTATACCTTTATGGGGTACATGGGATGTTTTGATATGAGCATAAAATGCATAATAAACACATCATGAAAAATCCATCCCTTTAAGTACTGATCCTTCGTATTACAGACAAAACAACTATACTCTTATTTTTAAATATACAGTAAAATTATTAAATTATTGACTACAATTGCCCCATTGTGCTGTCAAATACTAGGTCTTATTCATTCTATTACTTTAAAATAATATATTATGCATATGTTACTTGTCAGCTATATGTATTGAGAACATTTTTTGCCCATTGGTGGCTTGCTCTTTCATTTCCTTAGCAGTGTTTTTAAGGAATGTTTTAATTTTGATCAGTTAAAATTATCAATGTTTATTTGTTCATTTAATATCTTAGTGCATTGACTTTCCTCTCTAAGAAATTTTTGTCTAGCCTAAGACATAAATATATTCTCCTACATTTATTTCTAGGAATCATATGGCCATAGCTTTTGTGTTGCTTCTATGTTCCACTTTTGGTTTATTTTGTGTAAGGTGTAAGTTAGATATTGAGGCTCATTTTCTCATTTTTTGTGTGTGTGGATAAATTTCATTTTTGGAAAAACATTCTGTTCCCCCACCGAATTACCTTGGCATCTTCGTTGAAAATAACTTGAGCATACATGTAAAGCTCCTCTTGAACTTTCTGTTCTATACCATTTATCCATGTCTATCCTTTTTCCTTTACCATTCTTCTTTATACTGTAGATTTTTAGTAAATTTTGAAATAATGTAGAATAAGTTCTCCAATAGTCTTCATTTTCAAGATTACTTGAGTTATTCAATGCACCTTTCACTTCTGTGTAAATTTTGAAGTTAATTAGCTTGTCAATTTCTACAAAATTCCACTAATATTTTGAGTATGATTGTGTTGAATCTATAGATCGGTTTAAGGAGATTTACATCTTAACACTGAGTCTTCCAATCCATGAATGCAACATCACTCTATTTAGCTAGGTCTTCCTTTATATTTCAGCTATGTTTTTAACTTTGTTCAGTGTATATATCCTGTACAGGTATTGATCGACCTTACGACCTATGCAACTTACGACCATTCGACTTTACGACCACAATCGCTAGCCATGACTGCTCCGCGTCTGGCAGCGCAAACGTTGCCCAGCTGGGCATACGACAGTGCGGACCAGTTTCCGGCAGCACTACCATCTCCGTGTGCATATAGCCTACTCAACTTACAACCAAATCGTGTTACGAGGGGTCTGTCGGAACCAATCGTGGTCCTAAGTCGAGCACTAGCTGTATATACCATAGCTCACTAAATCTACCTATTTTGTGATTTTGATGGTACATAAACGGTATTTTTAAATATCATTTTATAATTGTTCATTACTAGTGTGGAAATGTCTTTGTATCTTGCAACATAGCTAACTTCACTTATAAATTCTAGTACTTTTGTAGATTCCTTAAGATTTTCTATGTTCATGATGGTATCATCTACAAATAAAGACAGCTTTCCTTCTTTTCCATCAGTATTTGTTTCTTCTTTCTTGTATTATTACACTAGGTATCACTTCCAGTATGATGCTGAATAGGAATAATTAGAGTGGACATCATTGACTTGGTCTCAGTATGAGAGGTAAAAGGATTCAGTCTTTGTTAAATATGATATTATGGGTAGGATTTTTATAAATTACTTTTGTCATATCAGGAAAATTTCCTGTTATTCAGTTTGCTGAAAGAGTTTATTATGAATTGTTGTTGAATTTTGTAAAAAATTTTTCTGCATATATTGTGATGACCATAAGCTCTTTCTCCTTTATCCTGTCAATAGACAAAAATTGTTTGATTGTTGAATATTAAACCAACCTTGAATTCCAGGGATAAGTTTTCCCTGGTCATGATATCATCTTTGTTTTATATATTCCTGGATTCAATTTATTTATATCTTATTTATAATTTCTTCATCTGTCTTTAAGAACGACATTCATTTTCTTTTCATTTCTTTCTTTCTTTTTTGATGTTTAGCAGTTGTTTTTTGTTTGTTTTTCAGCAATGTGTTCATTCGATTTTGATAATAGGATTCTGCCAGTCTCATAAAATAAAAAGGAAAAAAAAAGAGAGATTACCAGATGTGAACAAAAAAAAAGAGGGAGAAAGTTTTTCATGCACTGCTAGCATTCAAAGGCCACAGGCCAAGAGTATTCTTTGGGCCAGAGCTAATCACTAGTTTCAGTGAAGACACTATCTGTTTGTTAAAGACAGCCAACCTCTGACAGCCAAGGCAGCACATAGGCAGAGTAGAAACCTGAAAAATGCTATATCTGCTCAACAGAACTTATTAGGGCATATTTCTCTCATGCTTCTCCACCTGCGCATATGTTTCTCCAAAGCTATTCCACAGAATTACCCTTAACATTTAAGAACAAATGTATATCTTCATGAACCCGGCAGTTTAATCCAAAGAAACCCAATTCAAGCTCAGTATTTCTTATCATCTTGTGTTTCAACTTAAAAATAGATATAAATTTTGCCCTTTACCTTATAACCCCACCCCTACCACCAATAAAGAGCCATGTCCATTTTCTAAATCAGAATTTTGTAGCATCTGACATTCTGCCTGAATGCAATAAACATTCATTCAATCACTAAATTATACATCCAAGTTGACTTTAATGGAAAGAGATATACCTTCCTATATCTTCAAGTAAAATCAGTGCACCAGGAATATATTTCATGATTACTCTGTTGTGTCAACTATCAAAGGCACATATCCCAGTTTAGAAACATGCTGGCATAGTGATCTCATAACTTTTTATTTACCATGATAACTACCAGAAATACTTTAAAATACAGGCAATGGTGCAGGATCATGATGCCAAATATAGTTCTTGGTCCAAGGTAAATATAATTAACCTTGATCTTTGTTTCCTTACTGAGTTAGCTATGCACTAGTGAAATAATCATTTAAACAGTCAAAATCAAACTTTTCACCACACAAGTGGTTAGTGCTTCTCTTCCTTCTGCAGATTGTTTCAGCTATTTCTTTGTCTAGACTCTGTGAAGAAGAATGCAGAAGCAATCATCCTTATCACTTAGGTAAAAATTTACAGAGTTGGGAAATGACACAATTACATGGATAACCTGGTTGGAGAAGGAGCCAGAAAGGAAGAGTAAAAAACCTTCCTATCATTGTGATTCTACTTGGAAGGCACAAGGATTTACTACGTTATTCATGAAAAGTAACAATAATAACAGGTAATTTGAGCAATTACTATGGGCAAAGCACTAGGCAGGCAAACCATCTTACCCAATCTTACTTCTATTCTATAAACTAAGTTTTTAATAATCCCTATGACACTGGTGAAGAAAGTAACAAGAAGATAAATAATTACATTCCTCTCCACCCTCACCACCAACCTAGTGGCACTGGAGATATGATCAGAATTTTTTCCTGCTGCCCTCCAGGAGCAAGGAGCATAGAGAACATTATGGAGTGGGGATAAATAGACAGGTAATAGAATATGTCTGTTTCACAAATACAGCGAGGGTTAGACATTATTTTGGAGGGCAATAGGAAAAACCTAAAATATTGATGTTGGTCAAGAAGAATGTCTACATATCATTAGGACTTCGGTAAAATCTAAACTTTTTTCTGAAATAAAAATCATATTAGAGTGCCTTGGAGGCATAAT